CTGCTGGCATGATTCAGCCAGGCTGTCGATCACCATGGGTCCGCCCACAAAGAAGGACGGCTGCTGTGATTCGCTGGCAGGAAACTGGAACAGCATCTGAGGACACAGACAGACAGACAGATGTTAACAGAGCACAGAGACGCACTTCGCTTAACTGCGACGAGGCCCGTCAGACCTGGCTGCTGAGGCTCTGGGAGGGTGGCGGTGGAGGAGAGAGGGGTTTGCTGACCCGGCCGCGAGGGTTTGAGCCCAGAGACGCCTGCGGATCCGCCTGAGACCAGAAGCCACCTGAGAACACAGTAGAGTCCTCGAAGAACCCACCCTGAAACACACACACACACTCGTGTCACAGCTGTGTCTCGTACAGTTAAACAAGAAAGTAGCCTAAATAAGAAAGTTAAATACACCCTGTCTACAGGACGCGAGCGGCGCGACAAAATACTATAGAACTCATAATCAGTGATGCTAGACTGAATGCAGCACGACACGACACGACAAATCCCCGAGAGTAAACTGCCTCGTTCTATTTATGAGGTACTGACAAGAGTTCAAATGTCCTGTAGACACTAGACAGCCTCAACCTGTTGCGACGCGGCGGTGTCGCGTCTGGTGTAGACACGGTTCACTGTTGCGCTACTGTTATTACACTTGTATACAAAACTTCATATTATGCTTGTTTTTGAGTGCGTGACGTCACGTGCACTACCGCCGGTGGCAGTAGACAGCCGTCACAGCCCTAGTACAGAGTGCCCTCTACTGACAGTCCAGCAGAAGCGGAGCGCATCACGTTTACGGCCTCAGCCCACACTCACGCCTCTCTGGAGGAAAGGGGTTTCTGAGCTGAATATTAGGAGAGTTGAAAGTAGTAAAAAGAAAAAAAAATACGATTTGTGGCTGTAATCGTATGACTTTATTTGCTGTTTGAGAAGTTCTGATGTGCTTCCAACAAAACCTTTTACAGAGGTGAAGAAGAGCAAAACATCAGATTTGAAGTTTGAGAGATCTGAGGTAGGTTTTAGGCAAACGCGGCTGTACTCATGAACCTATCGAGATAAATATGATGTTAAAGTGCTGCAAATTACAGGCTTCTTCCATGTCAACCGTGAAGGTGATGAGTACTGTACACCAATTTAATAAAAACTATATGCTTTTCTTGACAAAAACAAAAATGGCATCACTTACAATAATGTTGTGTCCATTAACATCAGTAAACACAAACAGTAACATAGGCAATCAATAAACAATAAAAATTGAGTTTAAAGGGGTCATATGATGCGATTTCAATTGTTCCTTTCTCTTTGGAGTGTTACAAGCTCTTGGTGCATAAAGAAGATCTGTAAAGTTGCAAAGACTAAAGTCTCAAATCCAAAGAGATATTCTTTATAAAAGTTAAGTCAACCACGCCTACCTAAAACGGCTCGTTCTAACACGCTACCAGATCTAGTCTGTATCCAGATCAGATGGTCACTGCAGTCACCCGGATCCAGTACATATCCAGTCCAGATGGTGGATCAGCACCTAGAGATGACCTCTAACAGCCCTGAATGTCAGCGGAAATCAGGACAACTAGATGTGCCCCAGAGACAGATCCCCAGTAAAGACCTTGTCTCCTAGACGGCCACCGGAACAAGACCACAGGAACCAGTTGAGTCCTCTGCACAATGTGACTTTGCTGCAGCCTGGAACTGAACTGCTGGTTTGGTCTGGTCAGAGGAGAACTGGCCCCCGACTGAGCCTGGTTTCTCCCAAGGTTTTTTCTCCATTTCTGTCACCGATGGAGTTTTGGTTCCTTGCCGCTGTCGCCTCTGGCTTGCTTAGTTGGGGACACTTCATTTCCAGCGATCTCATCGACTTGATTGCACAGATACTATTTAAACTGAACTGAGCTGGATGATGACATCACTGAATTCAATGATGAACTGTCTTTAACTGAAAAATAAGTGTTTACTATTGTCATTTTGCATTATTGACACACTATTTTCCTAATTAATGCTGTACAGTTGCTTTGACACAATCTGTATTGTTAAAAGCGCTATATAAATAGAGGTAACTTGATTATAATCCGTAATTATGTCCCCACTGGATGCAACGAATGCCTCGTTTGTAATGGGTTTTAATGTTTTTGTCTCATCGCTCCAGCCGGACAGGGCATCATCACAGTATGGTGAGGGGCGTAACATTTCCGTCACACGCTTGAGGCATTCGGCCAATCACAACGCACTGGATAGCTGGCCAATCAGAGCACACTTCGCTTTTCAGACCGATGAGCTTTGTAAAAATCGACGCGTTTCAGAAAGGCGGGACATAGAGGAAAAACAATAATGTACAGTATGTGGAAAATAATGTGTTTTTTTAACCTTAAACCGCATAAACATTTCATTACACCAAATACACAAAATAATGTTCTTTTTAGCAACATCATATGACCCCTTTAAACTGAACTGAACTGTTCACTCATCTGTCTACTGATAATACAGCTTAAAAAGTTTTTTTCAAACTAATGTTCGCGCCGATGCAAAGAATTGTGGGCTATTTGTAACAACGGATTCACCTCACGCATCCTCCATATTCCTGTGAAAGAAGGCTTTTCTGAGATGTACCTGTGCGTAGGCGGGCTGGTGCGCTGCGTTTGCTCTCTCGTCCATCTCAAACAGACCATCCTCATCCTTCACCACCACCTGCTCTCCAGCCAGCACCTGCACACAGTCAGCAACACTCACCAGATACAGCTTCTGTGTGTGTGGATCACAGAACACACTCAGATGAGCTAACAGCCGTGTGTTTCGTCACCTGCAGTCTCAGCGGCTGTCTTTGTTTGCGCGTGTGCGCCGTCTGTCTGTCTCGGTCCGTGTCATGCGCATCTCTCTCGTCATCGTCGTTGAATCGCTCCACCAGCTCCAGGCCCATGCCGCTGGGAGACCCCATGTGACCGCGCTCGTTGGCGGCGATGTTCTGCACGCCCACATTCACACCGCGCTCCGGGTTCAGCATGTAGTTGATCTCCTGCGAGCAGCTGGTGGACTTCAGCATGG